GCTCTTGGAGGAACGACAGCATGACTAAAGCCTCCAGGAAATACACCAGCAGCAGCTCCTGTTCCCTCGTCATTTCTCTGATGTATCTCCAGTCGAACATAAGGTTAATGATGTGTGTCGAGAAGTCGTCTTCAGCAGACTGCAAGACCGCCAAGCACTGTTCTACTGAAAGACCCCTGAAGGAGAAAAGTGAAGGAATTAATCAAAAACGCCTGCAAACATGCCAGATCCAAGATTTAACTCTCTTAAAATAATACATCTGTGATCATCAAGATTCCACAAAAACCAGAAGCCAAGATGTTCAACACAAGAGTTTGGAAGCAGTTCATGGGTTTGAGGGCTAAAATTAATACATCAGATCACTATAATGTGATGGAAGGTGATTTTACAGATTTTATTTCTAAAGTTTAAGATTTAGTCAAATTGTAAACTTAAATGTTGTATATAAACTCTTGCCTATTAAATTTGTAAAATAATTTCTTAGGGTTAAAATTGTATCTGTAAAATTCAGATCTTCTGCTAAGTTTAAAGGTTATTAATGTCTGAGAACAAACATACATACACTCATAATGTACATTTTAACCATTCTTTTAGTTTTATGTGTAGCCTTAGTTCAACAATACTGGGGTTAGTTCAGATGCATTTAACTGCTAATAAATGCTATAAATTGAAATGAATTAATGGAAACCATCTAGACAACAAAAGCAAAGTGTTTACCTCTCAGAAGCCATTTCAGAGCCCAAATATCTCCAAATGGGGGTTTTTCCAGAAAGAAAATAAATCAGAGTTTGTTGAGGTGACTTCCGTCAGTGCAGAAGAGATCTACTGAAACCTGTGTGCTGTGGAGGCTTTAAATACTCAGAGCAGGACATCTAGTTGATGTTTTTAGTAAAACACACTTACATTGTGAATCAGGTTAAATTCAACACATTTCTCATTATAGTACAGTAACTCAAAATGTGCTTTAACATACAGCGGAGAAACATGTTAAAGGGTTAAGGTGCTGCTTCTACTTCATCTGACCCTTAAAGCTACTTTAGTTACAATTTTATTTTAAGGTGTCCTTTTTACAGTGTAATTATACATGTAAGTAATATGAATTAACTCTGTACTTACTGTTTGCTTAGGGTTAGGATTAGGGTTTGTCTTAGTGTTACTTGCAGGTAATTATGCATTATCTATTGTTATTATAATAGTAAGTACATGTAACATATGTAACAAGGACACCTTAAAATAAAGTGTTAATGTAACTAAATGTATTAAAGTGTTTTAGTCATTAAATGTCTTTTCAACAATAAATAAAGAGTTCATTTAGATGTCAACAAGTGAAGCACTTCAATTTCTTGAGAAAACAAATTCAGCATGGGTTTGAGTCATAAAAAGCCTGACCGAAACTAACTTCAGCCACAGACCAGCTATAGATGATTTGTTATCACCCAGCCCCCAGTTCACCGCAGCCATTATGCCTGAGAATACATATGATCATAATGATCTTGAGACTCTCCAAAGATCAGTTGGTGAAACGGTCTTCACAGCTACAAGGTGCAAACTACCGCTATTATGACACAAAGGCTGTTTTCAGACTGCTGATGACTGTAACTGAAGACTGAATGTGTGCTAATGAACAGCCCTGCTGCTGCTTTTAATGGTCACTTTGAGTCTCTCTATTGTATAGTTATATAGAGAAGACAGAAGCTACTTAAGAGAAAGTACATGAGAGTCCCAAGTATTGAGCCAAAATATATATATTTGAGTGAAAGTGGAAAAGCAGTAAGGTAGAAAAGTTGTTAAGCATTGCAAATGTTATAGAAGAGACCAGAAGAGCATGAGAGTCGACAGCATGAAGCCATATAGTTATAGAAACACACGTCTACAATCAGATACTGACACATACCTGTAATACAAACCAATTAATCTTACTGGCATTTGGCCCAAAACACACTACACTCAAAATAGTTCTATGGAAATGATTACAACCGCACTGGGAAAGTGTATGAATGTTTTCGGTTTGGTGTGCATGATGTGTACATAACAAATACAGTGTTGTATTAACCACTGCATCTGTGGAGCTTAATTTAAAACTTTCTCATTTCAATAAGAAACCAAATCTCATCTTTCAAATTCTGTCCATTTTTTTCCCAGAAAATGTAAACGATAAGTGCCGTTTTGATGCTTTTTGATGTGTCGTGACAGAGCCGTATCAGTTCAAGTGCAATCATCCCTTCCTCTTTACTACTAGTTATAACACAAAATTGTTAGGCTAATTATTGGCCTTTATATTAATTATAGTTTACTTAAACTGCTAGTGATATCTTATATTAGATTTAGAAGTCAATGTAAAAACTGCCTTATATGCGTAATTGCAATATTGTAGTTATGTGCAAGAACCATTAGCTGATGAATTAACTATAATTAAACTTATTTAAAAACAGACCAACCATTTGTTCATTATTAAATCAGTTTAATAAAAACACTGTTTAATTGACTTTCACATGGTCCAAGCATGCACAATTGTTCCTGTCTGATACTTTTGGCTGTGTGACAAAGAATTGGACTGTTGCACTTCAGAATTATAGCACACATTGAGTTCAGAGAAGGGTTTAACTATTACATGCCTTTTTTGTGTGTGTATGTGAGTATCCTCAACATAACAACTCTTAACAAGTCTTTTGGCAGCTTTCATTTGTCTTTTCATTTTGCATGATTTACAGTGAAACTTTGTATTCTCTTTGACATTTCACAAGATCAAGACTTTCAACATTCATGACCTTTTCATCTCTTTTCTTTTTGCAAGATATTCTTCTCTTGCAGCCGGATCATTTTCGTTGTGCTCCGTGTCGTGATTTTTCTGTACTTGAGTGTTGCAATCAAACTTATAAAATTAAAAAAATATATATAATATTAATAAGTCAATTTCTGGCCTCCTGCCAAAGATATGTGACCGTGAAATTCGATCGGGAGTTTGCACAGGGTGTTTATTTTGAAATTCACATGATTTTTTGACTTTTATTTTGTATTTGCTGTGCGGTTTGGACACGGCGTCCGTCAAAAATATACTAGGCACCTATCTTTAGCGAAGCGGCGCGGAGAGCATACTCGTCTGCAGTGCGTGTGCGTTGCATTTTTTTTTACGCACCCATGTTAACGGATTAGAGCGTTGGAGAGGAGAGACACCCGGATATGATTGTAAAGCGTTTTGTTTGTGCATGAATCAGAAAAGCTCTATATAAATGCTTCATTTATTCAATTTATTGCCTCTTTCAATTAGCTCAACAGCTTTGAAACTACTAGTATTTGTGAAATTTGTTCATAGGCAATGTTTCAAACCTACAATCATGCCAATTTAAATTTACTAATTTACATTCCTGGGATTCAGTAACATTTCATCTTGGAATATAAATTTTTTTCAGCTACATGTGATTCAAATTCTAAATACCCTACATCGTTAGGCACATATCAAACTTCCAAAAAATCATATTTTCCCACCTCAGGGATTAAAGACCTTTTATTATTTTTCAGGTTTTTTTTTTTCAGCTTTAGACACCTTTCAGCTTTTTTTCTCAACCCTGTGACGGACAAAATGGGATTGGTTTAAAACGGATTTTACACAGAAATTGTTATTAAACAAACATGTACCTACTGCTCATGTGTCCCTGATAACAATTTAATGACAACATTTGTTATGTAATGTAAATAATAAATGTAACATTTATTATAAATACACAAAATAATGATCTTTAAAAAAGCATCATATGACCCCTTTAATAACCCTACAAGGTTGATGTACAAATCTGCAGGTATCGATCATGCTAATGTTGTTAGAAGACAACTGCAATTACAAACGAATGTAGTTTATATGCCATTGCACAATTAATAACATTGCAACATGTTGTCTATTGATTGTTGCATATTTGCTTGTATTTGTGTTTTTGAGTAATCTCTGTGGCCCTAATAAAGGTTCATTTTATTGACACTGTATAACAGTAAAATAATGAGGCCTACAAGTTTTTGGCTATGGCACTAAAAAATGCATCAAACAAAAATTTAATGGTTCTAACTGTATCTGATTGCACACAATTAGCCAACATGTATTTAACCAAGAATTCAGCTATGAATAACTTTGGCAAGGCTTTTTTGTTTTGTTTTGTTTTTTTTTAATCTGCCTCTGTGTGTGTGTGTGTGTGTTTGTGAGTGTGTGTTTCATGTACTTTTGATTTGTTGGCGTGTGAACAGGACTTTTATTTTGGTACGGCGCTGTGACGTCATAAGGCAGCGTCGCACTCCAGCAGCTGTTGTGATCCGGCTGAAGAAAGGTTTGTGTTTTACTGCGTTTAAATCACTGCAAACCGTCGAGTCTGTTTAATAGTTCTTGCAAGCGATGTAAATGTAATTAATTGTCTGCGCGCGCTGACAAAACCGTGTAAATACAACGAGATCAACAAACAAACGCGATTATGAATGAAACTTTTATGAATTTCTTGTGTCTGTTTATAGTGTTTTGTCTAATTATGGCCTGGCGTCACAGACAGGGCTTAGGTTAAGCCAGGATTAGGCCATAGTTCAATTATGTAAGTAGTTTTTATAAACGTGCCTTAGAAAAAAAAAATTATTTGTGCTGAGCATCTTAAAACAATTGCAGGGACATATTTTAAGATCAGTCAGTGCAAGTTTCTTTCATCTGAAAGAGCTCAGACTTAAATTTTAGTCTGAGACTAGTCTTCAGCCTTGCCTGTGAAGCCAGAGCTAGCCGAAGCCATTAACTCTCACTCTGACTGACTCCCTCACCAGTGTGCTAACTACTGAACTAGGGAGCTGATTGAGACACACCCACTGATTTAGTTTGTGTTGATCTATCTTTAAATATTCTCATCTTAAACATGACAGCGTGTGGATCTCAGCAGGAGTTTTTTCTGTGTGGTTGGACACACTGTTATAAAGATGGCGTTTATTAAAGAGGAGAGTGAAGACGTGAAGATTGAAGAAGCATTCAGAGTCAAACATGAAGATACTGAGGAACACACAGGTTGGTTTTCATTCTCATTCGATGCTTATTAAAATGCCAAGCTCTACAGAGAAGTGCATTATATTTTAAGCATATTCAAGGGTGTAAAATACTTGAGAAATTTTACTTCATTACTTTTGGGGGTTTTGTATTTTACTGAAGTACAGTTTAAATGTAAACTTCTTGTTTGATTACATTTCTGAAGAAAAAAAAAAACCTTTGTACTCAATATAATTTAATTTTAACTTGCTTTTTATTTTCTACCATCTTAAACATGTTAAATATGGTCAACAGAAGCTCAGACGTGTGCTTGACGTGCGAGAACCAATGATGATTGTGTTCATGAATCTGAGGAAGCATACTGAAGTAGCAAAAAAAAAGTAGCAAAGTCGCTTTTACAAAAAAAAAAAACATTACTTTTGACCGTTTTATATAACCATTAGCTGTCTGTAGTATTAAATGCACAAGATTGAATGCCAAAAAAAAAGGCTCAGTGAATTTACATTCAATTATTATTTTGGTTGCAGTGCTTTCTTTCTTTATTTCTTTAAATAAAATGTTACAATTCTTCAAAAATTGTTTAAATGAACACTGTACGTTAAATTAATTGTAAATCATGTTTAATGATGTTCTTACACGGAAGTGGATAAGTGGTATTATAATGACATATCGAGTAATAATTAGGGCTGTCAGCGAAATATTTTTTAAATTAAATAATTACATATCAATAATTGTGAAGAAAAAAACTAAAATATTTAAAAGTTAATTATTTCAGACGTGGGCATTGAATACACAACACAAAACTTGGCCTTTTCAAAAAGTTTTAATTCTGTCACTTATCATTATTTCACAACACATTGTATTCTTTCTGCATGTTTCTGGCTTCTGCATCACATCTGGCTCATTAACGGGATAGTCCACCCAAAAATGAACATTTCTCATCATTTATTCACCCTTGTGACGTTTCAGTTTTACGTGACTTTCTTTCTTCAGATGAACACATATAAAGACTTAATGCAAGTGCATGAGAACACTTCAAAAACCACACAAATTGAATACGACCATAAAGTTTAAAATCGGGCAGCGCCAGAGAATTTTGTGCTAGATCACTGACAGGGAGCTGGGCAATTAATAGTAAATATGACCAAAACAGATTATTATTATTATGAATAAAATAAATCACCCACTCGATTTTGTAACATTTTATTACATGATTATTTAACTCATCACAAATTAATTACAATTTTTCATTTTATAAAATTAATCAAGTAGCCTAGATCAGGCAGTTGCCAAAGATTTTTTTTAGTCCGCCTAGAATCCACTGAACAATTTTTTTCGGTATTTCGGCATGTGAGTCAAAGGCAATATGACATCAGAAAGCACTAGGGATATATTTACTTCGCTCTCTGTGTTGATGGCCAAATGTGCCACGCTGCTGTTTTGGGCATTGCCACAGCTGCTTCTCAGATATGTAGGAAACAGGACAAAGTGTCTCACACATAGACTGTATAAAAACATGGACGTAGTGTCCGTGATGTCACCCGTAGATTTCCGAAGAGCGTTTTTGAAGCTCAAAATTGGGCGGAGGCGGCCGTCGCCATCTTGGCAGCGCGTCACTCCCGAGCAGGTTGCTGAAACCACGCCCACCTAGCTCGACGGTGGTGACAGCAGCGGCAATCCGACAGAATAAGAACAAGAAATATAAGTTAGCAATCAAATGAAATCAGTATAATCAAAATTAATTTGTAGAGGTGGCACAGAAGAACACAAAAGTGGCTTGGTGTACTTTCAGACATTTAATGAGGCTCAGAAGTGGAATGAGTGCAATTAAATCCATAAATTCATGATGATATTAATGTTTTAAATATATAATTTTGAATATAGAAATATTAAATGATTTAAATAACTGAAAAGATACTTTAAAAATGTAACTAAAACTGCCAGCCGGTGGCGGCAAGTCACTGATTTTTATCACTGAATCATTCATTCAATTGATTAATTCGAATGGCTGATTCATTCAGGAATGAAGCAAGTGACAGTATTTATGAATGGGTAATCATGAATCACTGACTCACTAGATTCGTTTAAAAACGCAGTTCATTCATAAACGAGACACCGTTGTGTTTGAGTGGACGCAGCGGCTGAGCTGTGACTTTTTTTCAAACTGTTTTCGACGACGAAATAGAGCAAAATCGGACCATAGTGTTATAGTCAGACAATGTATGTCACTTAATATTAACTTCTTGTCTATTTAACTGTTGTATTAAATCAGTATCACATTTACAAACTCCCTTAAAAATAATTAAAAGCTGGCACTCATCTTAGTTCATCTCGAGCTCACATCTCACAGTTCTTTATTTAAATAACAGAATTATTTTATTTTTGATACTACAGCAAAAACTAGTAGCATATAGGGATGTAACGATTCACTCAACTCACAATGTGATGCGATCCACGATACTGATTTCACAATACAATTTCCTAGATAAAAGACAAATTATAAATGAAAAGGTGTCCTTTTATTATTTCTCCAACAAAATGCTACACATTTCTTTGTGAAATTGAAATATGTCAAATAATAAAACTAACTTGAAATTTTTAAACAAATCCCAAATTAAATAATACAATAAAATAAATATCTTCATATAAACAAAGGCTTTGGCTGTGCCTTTTCCATTTAAAATCAGAGGCAACCACTGCATTTTAATCATGATCCAAACAATTTTAACAAAATTAGATTTAAGACAAATTATAAATTAAATGTGTCCTTTTATTATTGCTTGGACAAAATGCTCCACATTTCTTTGTGAAATTGAAATATGTCAAATAATAAAACTAACTTGAAATTTTTAAACAAATCCCAAATTAAATAATACAATAAAATAAATATCTTCATATAAACAAAGGCTTTGGCTGTGCCTTTTCCATTTAAAATCAGAGGCAACCACTGCATTTTAATCATGATCCAAACAAAGATGCTAAATACATGTTATTTAGATTGCAATTAGATTGTATAATTTCGAAATTTGAAGCAAAAACAATGGTCTGATTTTAGCTTTGTGAATGAGACTCAAATGTCACTCTCCGACAGCAGGTGGCGCTTATGGAACAGCAGGTATTTATAGGCTGCTGCCCCTTTAAGACCGAATGCGCGGATCCAATATAATGATGCACTTGAGATTTCTTTCACCACTGTTTACGTTCACTTAAGACATAACCGACTGTGTTTACGAGAATACTTTCCGAGACTGTTATTTTGAGATAATTTTGTGTGTATGTGTTCATTCAGCTGCAAGGATATGCGAAAGAGGAATCAATTCTGTGTACGCGCATCGTCTGAAACGTGGCTCTCTGTGCGCGCTTCTAATGAGTGTGAACGGTTTAAAACACTTGAATGTTTAAATCGGCAAGACTTTGAAACACGTGCAAACGATCAGCTATGATCTGTTTTACCCCAACAAGCTAGTGAACAACGCAAATTGAGGAATTAATTTTATATCACTGTTCAAGATACATTTTGGTAGCCCGAATGGAAAACACAATAGCCCCGGGACGTCGGGCTAGCGATTTTGCGAGCCCTGGTACAGGTTCTGTACAGATTACTGAAAGGTGAAAAGTGTCATCAATCCGAACTCTTTCCCGTTACCTAGGATGAAGTGTTGTATTGATTGTGTTGCTGTCTTTTTCTGTGTAACGAAAGTAGACTTGTTTTAAGGGTCACCAGTGCCACATTTGTTACGCCGGATAACTTCCTAAAGTATATGGTTATGGTTTTCAGGACGAATAATGCTTCAGCTACTTTTCAGAGATCAATGCGGAAAGCATTATTAGCATAAACTTTTTTTCAGTTATTCCAAAGAATACAGTTAAAGGGGAAGCCAACACGAGAGATTATACAGTTCTGAAGCAAGAAACAAGGGGTTATCCCAACGATATACCAATTATTGATTGTCTTTATACGCAAACAGCCATATGCTCTGCATATGGATGTGACTACACCACTGATCTAACAACACTGGAGTAGAGATGTAGCACATAATCAGAAAGTAGTTAATATGTAAGTTTAATAAGGACAGTTTATGTGCTTAAATCCTTAAATGTGAATTTCTCTGATTCCTTTTCATTAGATTCCTTTTTTTCTGATATTTTAGACAAATGGTAGATTTGTCCTGGGCCAAACTGTGCTTGTTTTTGATAAAGGGTTTAATAACTGTGAGCATGAACGTTTTTGGGAGGTGTCCTAAACAAAGAAAAAGAGTTTACAATATTGATAAAGAGTTTCTAAAATTATATGCATCACCTCCTTCAATAGATTAGTGCATATACTATCTAGCATACATGTTGGTTAAAGCAATAAGCCGCTTATTGCTTTTAGAAAATGGTTATTCCATATATGTAGCAGTTTCACAAAATAAAACAAGACAAATAAAATGTTAATTGACCGGTCCCACTTTATATTGTGTCCCTAATACCTGTGTACTTGCATGTTACTAGATGTGTACATAGTATGTAACCACAGTGTAAGTACACATTGGTACATAGTAGCTACAGCTCTGATGTATGTGTAACTACACATATGTAACAACCCACTGAATGTTATGTACAAATGTGTAACAGGACCTTGGTAACAACACTTTCTGGTAATGAACGTATAAATGTGTAACAGGACTAACGGCACTTTTTGGTAAAGAAAGTGTTACACTTTATATTAGATTTATCATGTAATTACTCTGATGTTATACAGCAGCGGCCAGTAAGTTGGGCTTTACATATAAATTGTGGTTGGTGTCCAGAATGTTAAACTTTATATTAAGTGGACAGTTCCTGAGGAGTTACCATGCAAGTACACTGGTATTACAGTGGTGCTCCAACTCCAACTCGAGATCCAACTCCTCCCACTTTACATATCCTTAAACCTACCCATTTCCACCCCTAAACCTACCCATCTCCGCCCCCTGGATCAAATGGTTCCAATTACTCTTAAACATATTGTTGTTACAAAATGTAGTTATATAATTCCTGTTAAACGAGTACTTGGTAAAGTGAAAAAAAGTGTTGTTACCAATGTCCTGTTACACATTTGTACTTACACAAACCATCCTAAAGGGGTTGTTATATGTGTGTAGTTACAGAAATATTACAGCTGTAGATACTATGTACCAATCGGTACCAATTTCGGTACCAAAGCAAAACACAAAAACATGCTAATTGAACAACATTTTTATTAATAACGTTAAACAAAAATTAAATGTACAAAACCAATGCCATTCTTTATACTTGTTTACTTTTTTCATACTTTTATTACTTGTGGAATAACTTGAAACAATTTATTTTTTTAGTACCGACTTGGTACCGAAATACCGGGTCTTTTGACAACACTAGTTGTTACATGTGTGTAGTTACAGAAATATTACAACTGTAGATACTATGTACCAATGTGTACTTACACTGTGGTTACATACTACGTACATATTTAGTTATTTTGTAAGCACACAGGTATTAGGGTCACTTGATATAAAGTAGGACCCTGTTTCTGTTCTGTTTAAACTGGGATAATTTTAATTTGTCTTTTTTCACCATAGACCTCATGCTGCTAAAAGAGGAGTGCATAGTACCGAATGAAACGGAAGAGAAAGAACAATACGAGACTCATCATGATTTTAAAACCGGAGAAGAATCTTTCAGTTGGCCACAGATTAAAGAGACTTTCTCACAGAAAACAGCTCATGAAACAGGAACTACAAGTTATTTCACCCCTTTTCACTGTGAAAAGAGTTTTGATGAACATGGAAACCTTAAAGTCCACATGAGAGTTCACACTGGAGACAAGCCTTACACCTGTCCGGAGTGTGGAAAGAGTTTTGATCATAATAGAAACCTTAAAGTGCACATGAGAATTCACACTGGAGAGAAACCATATTCCTGTCTTCAGTGTGGAAAGAGTTTCTATAATCAGGGAAACCTTAAAGTGCACATGAAAATTCACACTGGAGAGTGTCCTTTTATCTGCCAACTGTGTGGAATGAGCTTCATTCATAAAGGATTCCTTAATAGACACATGAGAATTCACACTGGAGAAAAGCATTACGTGTGCCATCAGTGTGGAAAAAGTTTCAATCGAATAGGAACTCTTAACAGGCACATGACAATTCACACAAGAGAAAACCTTTATACATGCCCTCAGTGTGGAGAGAGTTTCGATCTACATGAAAGCCTTAAAGCCCACATTGGAGTTCACATTGGAGAGAGTCCCTTCACCTGCCAACAGTGTGGAAAAAGTTTTACTCGAAAGGGAAACCTTAGCAGGCACATGAGAAGATTACACTGCATTTGTTAAACAAAAACTTGATCAACACACGAGGATTCATTTGAGAGAACTGTTTTATGTCATCAGTGTGGAAGGAGTTTCGCAGACATGGAAATGAAAGTGGTTAACGTTGTTTTTCATCAGTAGTATTATTTGTGATTTTAATTTTGTGAACGGGAGTTCCTCTTTTGCCATGTTATAAGCCGGGCGTCGGGTGGTTAACATTCAACCCGTTCTTTTTCATCAGTAGTATTATTTGTGATTTTAATTTTGTGAACGGGAGTTCCTTTTTTGCTGTTATAAGCCACAACAACAATAAAACCGTACGATAGAATGACAAACTAGCTTAAAAAAAAAAAGTTTATTAACAAAAACAAATAAGATGAGGCATGGCATACACCACATGCTGTATTATATACTGATTAATAAAAAATCAGATAGCCTAAAAAAGAAAAAAGAGAGCCTCCATAGCGTAACGTGAGGTAAACAGCAAAGATAAGCGTTATTTTACTTTACTTTAGATTGAAAACCATCCATCGTTTTGCTTAATTTTTGCTGCGCGCACCTTCGCGCTCGTGCTGACTTGGCGAGTATAACCCATGGCTCTACACTCAAAGCGCTGTGCAGTTCAAACGAGTAGCGCAGTTTCGTTATGCTTTCAGTTTCGTTTGCCGTTTGATGTTTCTCATAAGCGACAGAATTGGCAACGCTTATGAGTTGAACAACGCAGTGTTCGCACCAGTGTGACCGCTCACAAAATTTAGTCGCACAGGCAGAAAAAATTGTCACAAAATGCGACCATTTAGTCGCAGTCTGGAGCCCTGGCGTTCTTCGTACGTCGTTTATTACATCCGAGATCAAATGACACGTCCAAGATGATATCATCGCGCTAATCATGATCTGGCTAATTCGGTTCTTCGAACACACCTGTTGTTGATGATTAGTATGGCTGGATTGAGTTATCTGAGATAATTGCACATTCATGGGTTGGTTTAAAAGAGGCTATATATCGATACTCGAAACCACGATCAGCAATTCAATTCAATTCAAGTTTATTTGTTGTAAGGGAAACGGGTCAATTTAGCTCAAAGGGAATCATTTAAGATTTTATAGGGAATTTGGACAGAATCACTGTTTTATGGCTGATCACTGAGTCTGCCAGCGATTCATTGAACGAGCCGTATAACATCAATTCTGCATGGATATTAATATCCAAAATATAGTGAAAACACTATTTATTAGCACAGTAACAAGATCGGCAGTTTAAGACATTAACTTGTAAGCACAAAACACAAGATACTTCTCTTTTCAATATAAATAAGACTTTATTAGATAAATCTAAGACATAAACTAGTCTAACACATAAACACACGCACTCACACATTCACACAAGTTGCAGTGTAACAGTGGTGGGCCCCAGAAAACAGTTTAAATCAATACTTAAATAACTAAATTAAAGTGTTCGGGCGCCAGACAGGAGTAAGCCTGTCAATATTTAAATAAACCCAGATGAGCTCTAAAAGCCACCGGTTACAAACCAAAATAAGTTTACACTCTTTTCAACAACCACAAAAATAAATAAACGAACAGAATAAATGCACAAGAAATCGAGGGTTTTAGTTCAAAGTCCTATTATATTTTCATATACGCAAAGTACAATTGTCCAACAAAAATCATTACATCACTGGTACACCTTTACACCTTGTCAAAGAGAGGGGAGGGGAGGCAACTGTTGCGGATATCGGGTGATGCCGGTCCACTCTATTCCCGCATTCAATTCGATAGATTTAAGAGTCCAGTTCTCAATGGATATAACCACAAAGGAGAAAGGAAAATAAATATACATTCAAACAAGGTTGATATAGGAAACTGTTCAGCTTATAATATATATTTTTTTTAAATATACTCCCACACCAAAGGACAGTGAAGGTGTGTGGCGAAAGTGGTGAGAGCGAGTGGTGTGTATATGTGCAGACGAGACGCTACTCCCCAGAAGTCTGCTTGGAACTCAGCTTTGAAAGATGAATTGGAGGCTATGAAGGAAGGTACCTGGGCAACAAACACTTTAGCGCCCGAATCCGAACACACTCAGCACTGGTATCCTTAGTTTGGAGAAATGGTTCCTCAAAACACTAAATCGATCGCCCAGCACCATACAAAGTGTGCACTCGTAGATAATCCTGCGTCTTTTTACCACAGATATTTGCGATCACCGTCGTCCTCCTTCCTTCCCAAATCCACTCTTACTTTTCCCCCTCCTTTTTCCTCTTTTTACTACTCCTTAAATACAATTACTTCACTTCCTTTCCGATTACGCTGCCGTTCCCATTCGTTGTGACTTTCTAGCTCCGCCACAGCAGGAAGAGAGAAAGTGAGGAAAGAATGAGTTTAAGAGAAT